AATGATAAGTTGTCCTTACGACAATTGATGGCAAAGTTTACACTCCTTTTGTGTTTTGTATCTTTCAGTCAGATTTCGATTTTCGGGCTTTTGATGCGGACGCCTTCTCATTTTCTCCAGAAGGGGTAACTTTTCGGGTATCTCGACATACCAAGTCGAATTTGACTGCTATTTTCTATATGTTTTTCCCACTGGAAACCCAGCTTTGTGTGGTCCAGGCACTACATGCCTACCTGACTGCTACAGCTACGCTTCAATCTTCTTCATCCAGACAATTGTTGGTGCTCTATGTAACGGACCGTTTTGCACACAAGGGGTTAAAACCGCTTAGGCGATCGTCCCCTTTCAGAGATGCAGGCACAGCTACTGTAGAACACCAAACTCCCGAACCGCAAATAAGGGAATGCTCCACTGCATACAATATAACACTCCAAACTCACGAACTGGAACCTCACGAATAGCTGCTAGCAGACGAATAGGAAAAGCACACAAGCGGCTTACACTCCTAGCAATCAGTCTCTATCAGCATTCAGTAAATCCCCCCCAAAGACGAGACAAGGCTCCGTGTTGGGGGTCAAGCAGTGGTCTGTTTAATGAGGGCTACCTGCCCAGTATTTATGCAGGTCTTCCACCTGGGAGACCAAATGGGAGACTGTGACAAAAGACAGACAATCAGCCAACAGGACACACGGTCACATTATATTCCCACAATGCATCCTGGCTTCCTCCCCTCTGCCCTGGAGATAATTGAGAAGTAATTTAATTATCGTCCAGGACAAAGGCAAATCGCCATTATGCACGTAGGGATACTAAAACATGAATTACTGATAAAATACACTATGTAAGACACGTTACAATAAAACTATACATTTAACATATCCCCAGATAGCTCAGGTCTGAGCGCACATTATTAAGCGTATGGCGCTCAGACCACACGAATACAGTTTAATCACCATGGAGCCAAAGTCTTTACAAAGTCAGTTCTCATACGAATGAGCTCCATGGGATTCCTATCTGGGGTATAATGCAGTCAGGTACAACTACCAAATACCGGGTCGTTCGTGTACTTCCACCAAACAAGAAGGGAGGTCGGTGGCTTCAGCGGTGTTCGCGCCAAACTGTGTCCGTTTTTAGTTCCATGAGTTAGGCGTCGAACACCGCTGTGCGTTCGCGTGTTTAAAATGGCCGCGACCTCGTATTCGTTATACGAATGGCGGCCACCCAGTATTCGTCAATTAAGCTGCGGTTAACCGCAGCTTCTGGGAGGCTAATTGCCGGCACGCTCCTTGTCTAGTCATTCATGCGGTTGTTCGGTAGATTGAATCTAACGAACCCCGGGCAGAAAAGCACGAATAAGTCTTTTCTGCAGGGGAAAAGAGGTCTTGTAACATGGGGCCATAATCCAAAGGTAACAGGCGAGCAACCAGGCAATGCAATGTGGCGAGGTTGCTCTCGTCACACCCAATGTTAGACCACATGGGCCGGTATCGGTTACCACATTGTCCCGATGGCTTTTATCTCTAGCTGGGATTGATGCTTCATTCGGTGCTCACTTGATTCGGGGTGCGGCGGCCTCTTCCGCCCTCGTGGCAGGGGCCTTCTTATCAGATATTTTACTTGTGGCAGGCTGGTCACGGGAAACCACCTTTCGGACATTTTACTTCCGCCCGTCTTCTCATGCCGTATTCTCACTAATGCCTTAGTGTTATAACTTCAAAAAATAAAGCCTGTTATGTAATAAAATTGAAGATTATGCTAGCTTTAGTGTATTAATAATCTTAATTTTAATAATGACAGGAGTCCCCTCCTTTTACTTTTCCCTTCCCATATATATATATGTGGGGATGGTTTACATATGGTTCCACTCACTGGTTGTTCTTGTACAATGTTTATGATATGTATTTACAGACGTCCTAGCCTAATAGTTGCACTTTACTCGTCTATTTACAAGTCATCATTAATTGTAATAGTTCCGAATCTTTCAAGTCCTTCATTTCAATGGTTGCTAGTATTTTTTACGTTATAACTAAAACCTTCTCGGTCTCTTTCAGCTAAATGCATCCACAGTTTACTTGTGGTTCACAGTTCCAATGGATTTTACAACGGCTTATTCATCGTTCCTGAAGTTTTGGACTCTTCTTCTTATTCCTTATGTTTCTTAAATTTACTTTGTGACTTGTGATGTCGCTATTATCAAAAGGAAGTGCCCCAGTGGGAGGCGCATGCTATACTATCTGCCTGTTTCTGATTGGTTCCTTTTTTCTATGTGTTCTTTGCTGCTATGGAGTAGTAAAGGAAGCTAATGCAAAATACTTGCCTCCTGTCACTATTAAAATTAAGATTATTAGTACACTAAAGTTCAACTCAAAATGAGTTCTGGCATAAATGTTTTACAACTAGAAATTGAAACCATCCACTGAATAGAGTTATTTTTCTGTGGTGTCCATGTATTTCCTAAGAAGCTGTTTTGCTGTGGTTGTAGGTTACTTTTTTTCTGCCATGACGTCTACTGCTCACTCAAACAAGCTGATAGATCTGGTCATTTTTAGTTTAAAAATGCAGAGTTATTGGAATAAAATAGAAACTTCACCCAGTAAATCCACCCTTTGTGTCTACTAGTCCTATATATCTACATGACTGTATTAAACTTTTTAAGTAATCAAAGAATTTTACTTACGCTGAGTATCCTTGCCATGTCCAAGTTACAGTGTCCTGTGAATAGAAGAAAAAAGAAAACACACATTATACATATTATAGAATGATAGATATAAAATGTGCTGCAGGTGTTAAACACCACGAAAGGTAGGAAGTAGAGTTGAGCGGACACCTGGATGTTAGGGTTCGCCGAGTTCGAGTTTGCCGAATTCGAACTTGACCCTGAACCCGAACCCCAACCCCATTGAAGTCAATGGTGACCCGAACTTTTGGGCACTAAAAGTAGTCTAAAAAATTCCTGGAAAGGGCTAGAGGGCTGCAAAAGGAAGTAAAATGGGGGTAAGAGTAGGACAAGTGCCCTGCAAACAAATGTGGATAGGGAAATCACTTAAAATAACATTAAATACATAAAAAATAAAAATACAGCTGACCCATAAAATAGCACTAGATGGAATCTTTGATTTTAGCTTTGGAAGAACATAAATCAAAATCTAAAGCATGGCTGTCAGGAGGATCATCAGAATTATCCATTTGAGAGAGGGTTGGAGTGCAGGGTATTCTCTTTCATTGTTCAAACTGAGCTCAACTCCTGATGCATGGAGAAAAGGCCTTCACAAGCCTCTGCTATTGTGTACATATTTCTTTCTTCAAATATCTCTTTATGGAAGTGACTAACATTCAACACATAGTGTTTATGCAACTGATACTTCTAAGGTGCCTTTAAATTAAAACCATCAGTAAAATTAAAAACGGTCAATAAATTAGTCTGTTTATGCTAAACATCCATTCTTTCCATATATGAATCTACATTTAAGAAGGGAAATCTCTTTATTTCCCTCTTGGAAGATTTTATTCCCAAAATTATTTCTCCGTTTTTCTATCTTATATTTTGCTTTGATTTCCTTTTTGTTTGAGTCCTACAGGCTCCCATTTGGTAATCTATTTGTAACATCAAGTTATGGGTGGAATGCACACTTCCTTACAGTGGAACGCACATGACCAGGAACCCAATTAGAATGAACCGCCGAACCGGGAGTGACGTCACACAAGTGCCGGAAACCGGAAGTGACATCACAAAGGGGAAAAAATGGGAAATATGATCACCCACAGCGGCAACAAGTTACTGACGCCCAGTGAAGCACCAATGAAGAGGATGAACCACCAGTATAAAAGAAAGGACTCAGGGGGAGGGTTATTTATGCTTACTTTGATTGTACATTTGTATTTGTTTTTACTGCTGTTACTATTTGAATACCAGGAGGTCCCTGAGGACGAAACGCGTAGGACCTGGTACCATAACATACATATATATATATATATTACATTTTATATACTTTTTTAATAAATAAGAAAACATTTTTCTACTCCATATTCTGAGTCCAATTTCGTCTTCCTTGGAATAGAGGTAGTGCTATCGCCCCCCATCAACATCAGGGGAGGCACCCTTTGGCGCCATTTATTCGTCCATCCTGTGAGCTATATTCTACGTAGCGCACATATATTGTTTATTATACAGTACATTATCATTTGTTTTATATTATTTTTGTAGATCCACAGCTGTATCTTCATTTTTTTGTACTACCTGTTCTATATTGGAGAGATTGTTGCTGGGATATCCCCGGAGGAAGCTGTAACCACTGTTTATTAAGTTAAGTGTTCCTCACCTTTGTGTTTATAGTGCATGAGGTGACTGTTTTTCGTATTGTATATATACCAAGGAGCATTGGTATGAGCTGAAGCTAGCTCATGATATCCCCTTGGCAGGGCATTTGGGCAGGAGCCGGACAGAGTCTCAGCTCACCCAAAGCATCTTCTGGCCAGGCATCTCCCAGGATCTGAGGCAGTACTGCCAGATGCATGCCAGAGAGTGGGGAAGAGAAGGGACCGGCACAGCCCCCCCCCCTCTCCATCCCCTACCTATTCGTGAAGATCCATTCAGCAGAGTAGCTGCCAAGCCTAGTCCTTCTGGGAAGAAGTACATTCTGACCATTGTGGACTACACGACTCGGTATCCTGAGCAGTATTCGGGCAGAGACTGTGGCTGAAGCCTTGATGCGAGTGTTCTCCCGGATGGGTTTTACCCGGGAGATTCTCTCAATTCAGGGCACCCAGTTTACTGCCAAAATGACCCACCAACTGTGGAGATTGTGCACATTAAACCACCCCCATACCAGTGGCCAGTGTGAGCTCTTCAACGGTACTTTAAAGCAAATGCTCCGTACCTTTGCGGTGACTCAAGGATTGAGAGAGATTCCTGCCCCATTTCCTGTTTGCCTATCGGGAGGTGCCACAGGAATCTCCTGTTCTAACTGCCATGCCAGGGAACTCCTTGGAGCTGGCTTTGGTATGCTCGGTCCCTGGGTGTGCTGTCTAGGTGACGGCTGCTCTGCTTTTGCACCCTGCTCTAGTAGAGGAGGTGGATGTGGAGTAGGAGGTTGAGGAGGCGGTGACCGTGGAGGCGACGATGCATTTGGATGTCTGCCCTATCAACTTTCGATGCCACTTTCTGCGCCTACCATGGTGACCACGAGTAACGGGGAATCAGGGTTCGATTCCGGAGAGGGAGCCTGAGAAATGGCTCCCACATCCAAGGAAGGCAGCAGGAGCGCAAATTACCCACTCCCGACGTGGGGAGGTAGTGTCGACAAATAACAATACAGGTCTCTTTCCAGCCCCTGTAATTGGAATGAGTACACTTTAAATCCTTTAACAAGGATCTATTGGAGGGCAAGTCTGGTGCAGAGCGACTGACCCGTGCATGCTGCAGCTGAAACTTCACTATCGCTAGCTGCTTGCACAGTCTCTCCAATATGTGCAAGGTGGAGTTCCACCTTGTGGGCACGTCACATATGAGGCGGTGAGCGGGAAGGCCGAAGTTACGCTGTAACGCAGACAGGCAAGCAGCAGCAGGGTGAGAACGCTGAAAAGCGCTCACAGCCGCTACAGTGAAACTGCGAATGGCTCATTAAAATCAGTTATGGTTCCTTTGATCGCTCCATCTGTTACTTGAATAACTGGTAATTCTAGAGCTAATACATGCCGACGAGCGCTAGGGGACAGCCGCTCCGCTTTTGCACCCTGCTCCATCTTATGCTGTGCTGGTGCCTCTGTGCAACCACCGCCTCTTCCTCCAAACTGCACACGTCACTCGCATGACCTTCATTCCATGTGGGGTCTATGACCTCATCATCCTCCACATCATCTTCCACCCACTCCTCAACCCTGCTCTCCTTGACTGTCTGCACACTGCAGAAAGCCAGAGCAGTTGGCACCTGTGTTTTTCCAGCATGTAAAGTCTGCAAAGGATATATGGAAATGGTTTTAGAATTATATCCAGGCAACAGTTTTCCCTATAAACTGACCTCTCAGTTTGACTTGTATTGCCCCAGAATCACAATATTGTTTAAGTACCTCTTAGCTACTGAGAACTGGTTTAAATATATCAGCTTGTTATCTGGTAGTTTCTAGTGTAGAGAATATCAATCTTTTTTCTATCACTTACATCTGTTTAAGTGTAGGTGTGAAACAATATTACAAGTGACCGATGTAGTAAATTCGAATCAAAGTTCCATTTGCCAAAAAAAAATTCTCGCCCATCTTCTTTGGGTTATTGCATTTTTAAGATTTAGACTTATTGTATCACGCTAGCCATGCACAGGTAGATTGTCTGGCATGTTGTTTCGGTGTTTGGTTTTTAACTTTGTAGTTGTGTCTTTACACAATATAGAAATGTATATTTTTTTTCAATATTAAGTTTTTATTGAATTTTTTTGCATAGGCAATAGGTAAACATTGGGGTACAGAGGGGAAAATAGGGAAGGGTAAATAATTACAGTCTGTTCATCACAATTCCACATTTAGTCAGCTAAGTCAATTTATACAACAGGTAGAATATACATTTTGTGCTATACATTGGGATAATAACAATCAGGATTGTTTTGCAGCTGGAACTCAGGTAAGGTGGGTATATGTGGCTTGGGTGTTTGTTTGTCGTACTCGGGAATTGCGCATTTGTGGTTGAGGAGGGGAGGGTAGTGGGAGGGGGGGGGGGGAAAGAACTGGTATACCTAATTTGCAGCATTGAATGTTCAATGTGTGGTAGAGAGTAAGCAAAACAGGCGCATAAAAACATATTCGTCCCTTCACCTGTAGTATAGTGGTACTCGAGTGTGACATCTGAGTGGTAAAGCTTACTGCATTGTAGTATGTTGTGTTTTGATATGTTCTGCCCGCCCCTATAGAGTATTTGTTTGAGGTTTTTCACTGTAGTGCGGTGTGCAAGCCAACATGCCCACCTTTTAGTAATATATATATATATATATATATATATATATATATATATATATCTGCTTGGCCATCCAACCTGTACGCCATACATTCATAGTCTGAGAGTTTTGATTCTATTCCACACTTCCTGAGGGGAGGGGGTGTGTTTGTTTTTCCAATGGCTGGCTATACTAGTTTTTGTTGCTGTTAGCAGGTGTAGAATGAATGACGTGTATTGTTTAGAAGCAGTTCTGGGGAGAGGTGGAGTAAGTAACATTCCGGCGTAAACGGTATTTTGCATATTGTTAGTATTCCAATAGCTTTTTTCTATCGTTCACCAAAGTTTGCTCAGTAGTGGGCAGTCACAAAATATGTGCCTCATGCTTCCCTTGTGGAGATCGCATCTCCAGCATAAATTTGGAGCTGATGGGTACATGTTTGCTAGCTTGGTAGGCACCAAGTACCACCTCATTAATATTTTACAATACGCCTCCCAGTGGGTCAAGCAATGGGACACTTTTTTCGTAGCCTGAATTGTTTGCAGCCATATCGGAGTGGGAATGTTGATGTTTAGTTCTGATTCCCATAGTTCTATGTATTTGTGCTTGCATAATGGATCAGCGTCGTTTAGTGCTGTGTAACAGAAGGATGGTGGTTTTAGTTGCGGTTGTTTGCCTATACAGTATAGTCCAAAATTTGTTAGTTGTGCTTCACTGCATTGGCGGGTTTGTAGGGACTGGAGAATGTGTTTGGTTCTGATATATGTGAAAACGTGAAATAGTAGAGATACAGTGAGAAAATGTGTGTGGTAGCTAAAGCAGCCACAGACCACCTAAGTGGAAACCCCTTCTACCACTTATATAGAAATACAAATAATACATACAATAGGTGGAACACACATCTGTTGATTCTAAAAAAGAAAACAGAACATCATGGTGTAATATGTCAAAATACAATAATTGATGGCAATAGAGCGGTATTACTCACAAGCCTAGAGCCAGTATGACATATGGCTCTTATGTGCAGCACAGTGGGACTCTTAATAGGATGTCCCCATCCTTCTTGGTATTCCTCCTTGGGTTGTTGGAAGGTAGCTGTAGCAAATCACAATATTCCAATATACTTTTCCAGTGAGGAAACTTTATTATTGATAAAAAATAGGTATTAAATAAAATGGAAGTAAATCTTCCCAATAAAAATGTAAACTTTAAAAAATAGACAATTTGTCCAAATAAAAGTTCAAGATGTAGACTGTGTAAGTCCAAAACGTGTTTCGCCCTATGGTGGGGGCTTCCTCAGTTGGTATTAGTCTGTGTTGTGGGTAAGAGCTTCTTGGCGTCTTTATAAGGTATAAATCTCTTTTACTTCCGGGTTTTCTGCGTGTGGAACGCATCATGCGTTCCACCGCCGGCTTCCTGCGCATCACTTCCGGTCTATACTCTCGGGGCGCACCAATGACGTTACGTCGACGGCTTAGTGCGCGTCACTTCCGGTTTCTATCCATGGGACGCACCTGTGACGTCACTGGAACGCATAGTATCGGATCTATGTGTTCCACTGTGGATGAAAATGAATTTCTATTTTCTCACTAGGTTGTTGTATATCTGTGTACAACCCATCTAGCTTTAGAGGCAATATATCACCACATTTAATACAATATGCATTTACAAAATAAAAATCCATAATTTATACATTTTTTATAGAAACCTAAATAGGTGTGCAATTATGTACACATTATAAATTGATATTAGTGACAGTGAATTCATACCAGCATACATTGTGTTATATTTAAAGTGACAGCCCATAGAATAATAAAATTGTATAAGAAAATAAGTAAAAACATAAGAATCTGAAAGTATAAAACCAGTTTTAAGACAAGTGGTAAAAAAGGGGCTAAAACCCAACCATAAAAGTTAAATAAAGTGACAAATTTCAAAGTCTGAGTTGAGACCATGGGGAATTAAAGTATTAAAGTTAAAAATAAATTTCAGCTAACCTAAAAAGATCCTTAATGCATAGTAGTGAGGGCCCATCCAAAAATACACCACATTTTTTAAAACAAAGTAAAGGTTTTTTTTTTTGGGTGTGGGACATGCTTAGCTTGTAGAACAACAAAAAATCCTAAAAGGCATATAAAGAATCTCAATGAATATACAAAGATCGATTTCATTTTAAAAGAACAATTAACCTGTTTCTCAAAAGGAGTCATTTATTTATTGAAATGTCCCTGCGATTTATTATATCTAGGGAGGACCATTAGAAATTTAAATGTTCGGATATCTGAACATGTCCGAAACATTAAAAAAGGTGTAGAAACTCATAGTGTTTCTAATCATTTTAAAACTCATCACAATCGCAATCCAGAAAACCTCTTCTTTTGCCCATTAAAAACAGTAAAAAAAGATTGGAGAGGTGGAGATTATAATAATAGAAAAAAAAAAAAAAAAAAAACTCCGAAGAGATGAAATTTATTTTTAACTTTAATACTTTAATTCCCCATGGTCTCAAGTCAGACTTTGAAATTTGTCACTATATTTAACTTTTATGTTTGGGTTTTAGCCCCTTTTTTACCACTTGTCTTAAAACTGGTTTTATACTTTCAGATTCTTATGTTTTTACTTATTTTCTTACACAATTTTATTATTCTATGGGCTGTCACTTTAAATATAACACAATGTATGCTGGTATGAATTCACTGTCACTAATATCAATTTATAATGTGTACATAATAGCACACCTATTTAGATTTCTAAAAAATGTATAAATTATGGATTTTTATTTTGTAAATGCATATTGTATTAAATGTGGTGATATATTGCCTCTAAAGATAGATGGGTTGTACACAGATATATAACAACCTAGTGAGAAAATAGAAATTCATATTCATCCACAGTGGAACGCATAGATCCGATACTATGCGTTCCAGTGACGTCACAGGTGCGTCCCATGGATAGAAACCGGAAGTGACGCACACTAAGCCGTCGACGTAATGTCATTGGTGCGCCCCGAGAGTATAGACCGGAAGTGATGCGCAGGAAGCCGGCGGTGGAACGCATGATGCGTTCCACACGCAGAAAACCCGGAAGTAAAAGAGATTTACACCTTATAAAGACGCCAAGAAGCTCTTACCCACAACACAGACTGATACCAACTGAGAAAGCCCCCACCATAGGGCGAAATACGATTTGGACTTACACAGTCTACATCTTGAACTTTTATTTGGACAAATTGTCTATTTTTTAAACTTTACATTTTTATTGGGAAGATTTACTTCCATTTTATTTAATACCTATTTTTTATCAATAATAAAGTTTCCTCACTGGAAAAGTATATTGGAATATTGTGATTTGCTACAGCTACCTTCCAACAACCCAAGGAGGAATACCAAGAAGGATGGGGACATCCTATTAAGAGTCCCACTGTGCTGCACATAAGAGCCATATGTCATACTGGCTCTAGGCTTGTGAGTAATACCACTCTATTGCCATCAATTATTGTATTTTGACATATTACACTATGATGTTCTGTTTTCT